ATCCTCCACATCGACCGAGGAGGTAAGCGATGTTTGATGCGGTAAACGAGCTGAAAGGAAATTAAAGAATTATAGTTAGTTAGGCGTTAGTAGCTCTAGAGGCAGCACAGTACTTAGGAGCTAGGAAAGATTTTGCGTACCGCTAACAGGACTCTACTATTCCCTAAAATACCTTAAAACTTCATAATAAAGACTACAATTCAAAGGTTAGCTAAACGTTTCTGACAAGTTGCAAGGTCGGGAGAGAAAGAGACCTTTTTAAGTCTAATTAAGTAGCAATCCTCCGCTCACACAAAAGCTTTGATCAGGTACTGGCCAATAATACCCCACACGGGTAGAACTGATCTTGCCTCAGATCTAACCACAGATCCTGACAGTAGACTTGAACGGGCATATCCCGATGGGTAAACAAATAGTAAGACATAAAATTACTTCAGAGCCTTATTGCTGCAGCTGTTTGGTGGTTCATGAGTTTAGATCCGCTCCACATTTTCTTATAAGCTTAATTGCCTTCGCTAGGCTAAGGTTGTAAACCTCAGATACGGTGTTCTAATAGTTAGAACCACTAAGGAAATCTCTTTGGCGGATATCAGATGTGTAAAGTGCTTAGGACTTTATCTTTTCTTTTGATCGTTCCTAAAACTCTACTCAAGTACCAAATGCGGAACTCATCCACTCAGTCTTTAATAATTCTGCAAGTTGGAACTACGTTCGATGACTCAGTCAGTGTCCATCTCCCTTGTCTGGGTTCTACCTGTTTAGATGCATCTGTAACCGTGGTACCTGCATACCCTCCCCGAACAATATAAACAGAAATACATTTGCACTTCCTCAAGCAAGAGACGCGCAAAGATCCACAGTTGTAAGATAGACCGCGAGCTTTGGCTGTCTATGGCAGAGCAAGTGCAGTAAGGTTGTTAGAAAAGTTGCAACAACTATCGCCGGTCTTTAGGCGTGAGGAAATCATGCTTCTAGGACTTGCGATATATACAGTCGCTGCAAAAGTCGCCACGTAAGATGCGGTGGAATGAAATAACATTGTCCACGAGAAGTGAAACAACTATGTACATCCAACCAACCAAATCAGCTGTGTCTACTGATCCTACAAGTTTCCTTACCAGAACTTTTTTCAACTTCCTAAAATAGGCCACTTGTATTTCCTAACCAATCTAGAAATCCTCGTACGGGAAATACTTGACTGGTTCTCTTAAACAGATTTACGACTTGGTCAAAAATTAAGGAAAACTCTTGTCGCTTATCCATACAATTTTTTCTTAAGATCGTAACTATCCTAGAGCTAAGAATTAAGTTAAAAAGTCACGTTAGACTAAGGGTAACAGGAGATGTCTCTCGCACTATATCGATATAATCCTAGCGCAAAGAACTCAGGACACGGCGCTTAGAATAAAGATAGGAGGGCAATTATGACCGCGGATGATCAAATGCAAGTATTGTATGTTCGGTTCATGAGATAAATTTCTAGAAAGTGACACAAGTGATACTAATCTAAAGGGGATATAGGAATGGATTTAAAGTGACGAAAGGGTAGATAGACACTGTGCTATTATTATGTGTATTTTGATTTTCAGCAGTCGTAGAAGGCCTTAGATTACAGTACAATTTCTAAACAAGAAATCAACGCAGAAATTACACCTGTTAAGTTTCCGAGTGACTTCCTCACTTTCAACTCGAATTTGAATATCAACTTTTATTGTAAGGGTGTCAACAAAGCATTAAACGCTTACTTTGTGTGCGATAAAGCCGACCCAATTTAGATGAATATTGCGTTAATAAACACATCTACTTAGTATCTTCTCGGCAAAGAATTGAAGGCAATGAGAGGGCCGGGGCACTGCCGATAGCATAGTGACGTTGTAGGCTAATACCTTGCAGAAAGTATCAACTATTAACACTGAAAAGGGTAGACTTTAGACTAATGTTTGGGTGCCAGGACACTGTTTAGCACCATCTTACGCTGGTGAAACTAGAACTGATGTAAAGTGAAGCATGCTTACCTTTTAGAGAAAAATAATGTTAAGCTACTTTGGCTCTGTGTTCCTACATTTATAAGTAGTTTAGAAATCCACAAAATCTTGGTGCAACATTGCTCTACACCTAGGATCCAAGGCCTAAGGCACCAAATACTCTCTTATCAACACTAGGGATCAGTTATGGTGACTGCACTCATTCAGCTACCGCTCTCAGGTACACTTACACCTATTTAAAGAGTACCGTTGCGATAGCCTTTTATTAGCTCAACGTTGGTTCAGATCGTTTACCTCGAAGAGTATCAGTTACTCTGTCTAATAAAGCATTCTAGCTCGCAGATTTTGATCGAACTGAAATTTTAGGATATCTCCAACTGTTAACAATTGTATGGATGGAACACATGGCCATAGTTAGCATAGGTACCTTTGCCGTTTTCTTGCCACCGTTTCGCACTCGTGAAGCGAAATAGATCATTCGACCAGATCCCCAGCTTTTGCAGGTCAGAATACCAATAAATATCTTTAACCCCTCTGTGGGGAGGTTTAAATTGCCCTCTGGCTTGTAAGGTTGTATGTAGCCTTGCCAGTAAGCTTTTAGCCTGACGTACACTTATATTGTTCTCTGAGTTTGTTTCCCTCCTCCCTGAGTTCTTCCTTGATTCTGCTAGGTCTGATCGCAAAAAAAGGCCCTATGGGAGACGAGGTGGCCACCGTCCTAGCTTGACGGTCCGCTTCCTCGTTGCGCTCAACCCCTATGTGCTCTACTGGTACCCAAATTAGATGGATGATGTTGTGCTCCGCCATGGCGTTAAGCGTGTCCATGCACTCAAGAACCAAGGAGGATTTGAGCGCGAATGACGAGAGGGCGTTCAGAGCCGCCTGCCTTATCACTTAATATTAGAATTCTCTGCACACAGATTATTGGAATAGACCTCCGCCTGAAAAATGCTCGGGTATGCTCCCATGGGCCCCGATAGCTTCGGCTTTATCAAAGCCGTGAGGGGTTTAGGAGCCAACTGTATACCATTGCATCGAGCTAGCCCTAAAATGTTCGTCCATAGAGGTAGTACTCCAGGTTGCTTTACTCCCAAGCTCTATCTTGAATTTTCACTCAAAGCCTACTGATTTGGGTTTATGCTCTGAGATAAAACACCAATGGAATCTGGGAGCCTAGCTCTCTCTGCCTCTGTCAAAACCTTCTCTTACGCATTCACCTTACTTAATGTCTAAGAGTAAATCATGGCTAATTAGCCAAGTTTATGCAACTTGAGTAATCATATGTATCTTGCCAAGTAATCACCAGGTCACGTCCATCCAATGCTCAAGTAACAAGTTTTAGTTTTTTCAACACAAGGTCACATTTTGAACTCAATACCGCAACGGACAGTGTTCCAACCAAATAGTATCAAACGGAGCCCCTCATCGTGACCAGACCAACATAATAAGAACAATGTCAACCTAGCCCGCAGAGGCTAAGATCAGCATAGGTACATACGTAAAAACTGCTCTGAGTTCGTTAAAATTATATAATTCACAATTTTCGGGAAAGCCTTAGTATATGTATGTGCGTATACTTATTACTCACCTATTGGCGATTTGGGCGATTTAATGGAGAACTCATCCAAATCCTTCCCCGTCAAATCCAGCTTGAGTACCTTTTTCGTAAGCTCCTTGGTAGCTGCATCCAAATTCGATTTTTTGGAAATTTTTATATCGACATTACGCTGACTAACCGCACTCTTCGAGACTGCACCGCCATCCTTGTTTTGCTGTTGTTTCTCCGCATTTTTTGTATCGGCGGGTGATTCCAGCTGTGACATTTTATCGGTTTTGCTTAACTGCTTTTGTATGGGTGATTTTGGATTCGATTTCAATACCTCTTCAACCAATTGCTTCTTCTCCTCGAGACTTTTATGTGATTGCTGCTGCTGCTCTTGCTGTTGTTGTTGCTGCTGCTGTTGTTGAATGCTCGAAGTGGTCGTCGTAGTGGTATTCGAAGCAGCCGATGCTGATGAGGCGGACGATGTTGGCGATAGTACGGCTATGTTGATTGTTGTTGCTGATGTCGCTGTGGCTGTTGCTGTTGCTGCTGTCGATGACTTTTGACGATGTTCGATTGCAACCATTGTTCACAGAGCAGCGACGTTGATGCGCAAAAAAAACGGAAAGTTAATAGAAATAAAATATCAACAGCTATGCTATCTGTCGGTGGTATGGGGTGGAGGCGAGCTATTCAGTCGTCGAACAACGCACTTGATCTCACACTTAAGATGTCAAAGGACGACAGCGAATTGTTAAGCGACTGCGGTTAACGACGAAGGCACTTTTGAGTTCGATAAATCTTCTTATGCTTCGTCGTGGGCTTGTTGAGATTTTTTGTCGAGTGGCGAATTGTTTATTGTTTGCTGTTATGCTGCAAAGTGCTTTTGATGCGTGATGTGGCAAGACAGTTGAGTTTGTAAAAATATTATCGGCAAAGCTGAGGGTGAAAAAGAAAAGGAATAATTAATGTGAATTTGAGAAAAAGTAATTAGTTATGCAAAAAATTAAGAGATTAAAAAAATTATCAAACTGACGTGAGTATGCATACAATTGATTTAAATTAGATTTTAGCTCTTCTATCTACGACTAACGCAGTTTAGCAAGGAGCTCTGTTAAATGCACCAGCTTGATTGGGCAAGGAAAACCCGCTATTGGACGGTTATGTACATTTTTTTGCTTTGAAGGGTGAAAACTTGGGAAGGATAGTTGTTCACTGTCTAAAAATTGGAAAGGCTTTGACGAATTTTTATGGCAAAAATTAATACTATGGGGCCAAAATTAGATGTTAGCAACCAACTCCCGTCCACACTGGTCTGATAGCGGCATAAACTTCAAGTTTGGGAATGTCTTGAAATAGCCAGGTAAGTGCTTGATTACATTCTTAGGCATGTCTATTAACGCGACTAAAGGCATTTTTCATAGAAAATGGCCCAAGAAATATTCAAAGGACAGCGGATGTCAACGGCCTTTTCACGGACCCAGCAAAAACAATAATTGAATGATGGGTTTCGGTTGGAGCTGGAGCTTTAATGCAAAGTTCGATAGTAAATAAGTGTTGCTCCATAAAGGGGTTTTCATTATTTTTCCTACTTTTTCCGGAATTTAGAATATTTACTATTTGGTTTCAAGCATTTTCAACGCAACTTTCATCAAAAATTTGGAAGATTTATTTAATGTCTTATAACAATTCAGATTAAAACCTTAGTAAAAAGCAGGGACCGAAAACAACAGTTATTTTTTCGATGTCATAAAAGTCCGGGGTAACATATTGTCGTAGAATAAACTTATCCGTGTTCCTTTGATCCCAGGACCTCCTGGACCAGAATTCTAGACTATGTTTATTTTTCGAAGTTTTAGGAAAAATGTACAACAATAACTGAAAAATCCGAACTTTTATTTTCTAGGTCGTTTAAATATTTCTGAAAGCTATTTTAGTCCTCTTTCATTTGACACCAAATTTGTTTAATTTGGATAAGCGGTTTGTTTATTATTAAAAAAGAACTTTTATTTCGGTCTTAAAAAATATTTGGCCAAGCTTAATTGTTATTACTGAACTAAAAAAAAGGTCCGGTTTGACCGATTATTTTCTTTCAAATAAAAAAAGTACAAAATAAAACTTTTTTCTGACGATTTTTATTATAAATGTTATAAAAGTCCAGGTCCCTGGTAAAAAGATCTCAACATATTCCATATGTAGGTAAATATATGTAAGTAGAAGGCAAGGTTATTTTTTAAGAAACATAACGCGACAGAACTAGAGCTGGAAAACTATCGATGGCACTACTGACAGTATCGACGGTTCATGACCCATACATATATACATACATATATATGTTGCTTGAAGCCAAAAATCGTTGCTAAACTTTTGTTCCTCAACAAAAATATCGACATATTTCAGCGATTTTGATCTCATTTTCAATAAAAGTCGATAGTGTCGACATTTCGACTATCGAAACTATCGATGGCCCCGACCGTCGATAATTTTCCAGCTCTAGACTGAACGTGTTGGATACAAATGGTTATGGTTAAAAATTCCGCATTCAAAACTTTGCATTGCAATATTCTGTGTTTTCATATTCTGTATCGTAAAATTCTGTATTGCAAAATTCGGTATGGCAAAATCGGAATACCATATAAACATAGAGATTTCTTTTTTTCCGATTTTTCCATACAGAATTTTTAAATACAAAATTTTAGAAATACACTTCTTTTTTATCCGAGCACGAAGATTTTCTAGTTAAGACGAAATGAAAGCGGCAAAAGACGAGCATTTCGAAGACAAAGACGCCGAATACTATTCCACTGGGTTAAAAGTCCTTTATAATAAATGTAAGAAGTGCATTGAAGTGGAGGGAGGTTGTAAATAATATAGAAAAATATAATTTTTATACATTTCTATCAGCTATCAGAATTTTCGACCGAAAGATTTTTGAAAACCAGAATTTCCTACCGCTCCCGACTGAGCAACAGAAGATATCGACTTCGAACGGGCAATTAGGCCTTCTGAAAAGGTTGATATAAGGGGCTGTTTATATTTTATTGTTGGCCGATAAAGGTGCTTAGCCAAGAGAGATCAATTAACCTTTGATCTTTGAAAAAAAGTTACTTGGCTGCCCCTTTTACGAATTGCAGATATTTTAGCGCTGTGCGGATGGTTGACTCCTTAATCTATAGGTAACATGTCTATCTGCAGATAAGCAGCTTACGTGCTTTGCATTTTGCTCTGCCTGAGCTACTGAATATTTGTGACTCAACAGTAAGATTATATGCAGGTTGAGAAAGGCGGCAGTCTCTGATGGCACTTTACTCAAACTAAGGACCCTTCCTGCTTCCCACTCCCTTAATTGTTTTGCGTACATTGATAGGTAAAGCCAAGTCAACGTTTATGTTCTTTACTATCGAAACCAGATATATTTTCGTGGACTTACAACTTTTTGAACCCCATTTTTTTGCGCCAACGTAGGCTCCCGTCGATTTTCCATAGGTTTCCAACCAGAACCACTTTGGGAATTACTGCACTATGCTAATGGTTCGAGCTTTATTAAAACTATAAATTGCCGGCAGGAAAACAGTGCAATAATCAGGCTGAGCTCAGAAGCTGAACTACATGTACATATGCCTAAATCTTCCAAGTAGACACCACCCTCACTCTCCTTATCAAGCTTATACACATCCGTGCATATATAGTAGACCGTAAGACATAGACTACAAACTTTGGAAGAACATAGAGCCAAACACCTATTCTCAACATCACTCAACTGTACTTCGCTCTCTCACCTTTTACGGTGGCCTCGCCTCGCTGCTATAGTAGACTTCCTCGGGTAGCTCGAGACTCGAATGCAATGCACTAGCACCAAATTTCGTTTCTCTCAACGTGAAACCGTTGCGACGCGCTGAACTAAGCACCTGTTGTTGGTCTTCTTGTTGCTGTTGTTCCTTCTGCTTCTTCACCTGCGAATGAAGCGCGTTGTAGGCACTAAAATTGTTGCTATTGTTGTAAATTGTATTAAATTCAAATGCAAATGCGTTATCGTTGGTCTGTGTTGTTGTTGTTGCTGTTGCTGTTGCTGTTGCTCTTGTAACTGTACTCGCTACTACTGCTGATGTCTCATCGACACCGTTGTTATCAATGGCCGAACAATCTGTTAATGTAATTTTCGGCAATGACTCATCAATGTCACTTATTTCTAATTGCATTAGATGATCAATTAGTTCATGGAAATTAGCGCGCGTTGCTACAGTATTTGTTGTACTACTAATTGTTGTTGGCGAATTGGCATTCAGGTAATCGTTCATGCTACAACCACCATCTAACGTGGTCGCCGTGCACTTTACAGCTGTCGACTGTTTAGCTGCGTTGGTGGTTTTGTAATGCGACGCTTGAGTTGCGCTCGGTTTGATCTTAACGCGTATCGCGCATGAATTGTTACGCCGACGGTCGTTGTTTTCACCGTTTTCGGCAGCGGATTGCGCTTTCTTCGCGCTGATGCCGATGTTAAAGCTACGCTTGCGCCCGATGTGTCGCAGCAGATAGGTCAGCCGGAAAATTTGCTCAGCGCTACGCAAACGTGGCGTATTCCCCGGCGTATTAGTGGCGCTAGTCGCTGCCGATGCGGTTTCGTCGTTGCTACTGTTGCTTGTCTGCAGTGAAGATGCGCGCTTCGTTGCACGCTTCAGCTGTTCGCGTCGCGCGGCGTTTCGCTTGCCGATAGCTTGGAGGTAGTTGATGTGCTGCAGGAACCCCTGCTCGTAGTAATCGCAAGCCAATTGTAAAAATTGCGCTGGAGAATTTAGGAAGGCGACGTCCTCTTTGCTTAACGGGTGCTCCCTTTTGTTGTGGCTGTCGATTTGTGGTCTCACTCCGCGGTTAGATGAACTCACGACTGAAGCTGCTCTGCTACAAAAAACTTCGCGCGGCTTTCGCTGAATTTCTGCGTTCCAAAAACTGTTTGGTGTATTTGATGTCGCTTGTTTCGTCCTCAACGATTGATTACAGTGTGTCCGCCGTACTGCCTTTTCTTTAACTTTCTCTACGCTGTCATTTGCATTACTATCGGTTTCTTCATCATCGTCAATATAATCGTACCATTTTCCATTAGCATAGGTAATGTCTACATTGACGTCAGCGCTGTTATTTGTTCGCAACTTTGATGAGTTCTCGCACTTTCTTTCACCAACCGTGGCCCACTTATCCGCTTTGCAGCTAGCAAACCCTTCACCTTTTGCGCTTTTTTGCCGCAGGCTACTCTTTGTCGAGTTAACCCTTCTTCTGTTGCTGCTGCTGTTATTGGTCACGGCACTCTTGCGGTTCGCACTCCACCTTAACTGTCGTTCGACCAGCACTTTTAGTTCCTTATAGTCGTTAGCTTGGCGAATGCGTCGCACCGTCGCGTTGTACGTATCGTCAGCTGGTGCGTCCTCACACAATGTCTGACGACCGCGCGGTGTCGTATAAACGGCAGTGAATCTGTAATTAGTCCAATGTGTTGTGGAGCATTAAAGAAAAGTCGACAGCGGATAAAACACAAATAGCTACAGAATGCGAAAGCCAAAGCAGCAAATGAAAGTAACTAAAAAGAAGCGAAATATAATACACATGAACAAATGCTTTCGGTATGCTAAGCTCAAAGCAGTCGCGTTGTTCCATGCCCGGTTGACTGAGTTGTGGATTTCTTAGAGGTGTTGGAAAGTTCAGGTTAGTTGGTTTGTTGCATACACTGTTGCCGCTTGACACAACTGACAGGTGGTTTGCCATTATGGCTGCCTTTTTGAATAATTTATTATCGCTTAATGCATGCTTGGTTGAGCACTTGGCTAATAATAAAAGTACAGTGTGAAAAACTAGATGATGACAGCGGTGAAAAATTTTATGATGGTAAAAACGGCGCACGACGCGATCCTTTGGGGTCATCCGCATAGAGCTACCATTGAACGTTTTAATGCAGTGAAATTTTGCATGCAATGCACTAGAAGCAAAGGAAGTTTTGAATGTAGGAAGTACAAACGATAGGTGTACTTCTCTAGCTGGATATTTAGCAGACCATCTCCTCAAGAAGTAAAAAAAGTGGTTTGAGACCAAAGTAGTCTCTTTAGGTTAAGAATGTAGGGATTCACATGCCAAACCTCAAGATCTTAGACTACTAAGCCTTACTCCCTCGCCCTCAAATTGATATTCCAGCCTGAGTGATGGGCATCCCAGAAAGCTTTTGATTTACACATAGACTAACCAAAATACCTTACTGTATGCGGTAGGTCTCTGAATTTCTCATATTGCATAATATGATAACTTTAAAAGTGACAAGAAATAGTATACGACCACCCATATCCTCGCAGCAAAGTGCGCGGTAGGTATACCGATGGCCAGCTTTTAACAGTTTCTTTAAGATCACAAGACGCTAGTGGTCAATGACCGTTAGAAACAAGCTGTTATCTTGGGAAAGCTCCGCCGATTACCTGGCTTGCCTGTAGTGGGAAACTCAAATAGAATGTCTGGATTTTTTTTAACTAAAATAAAATTTCAGTCAAGAAAATTAAAATTAATCAATATTTCTTCGAACGCAATCCACTGTACAAAACACTTACACCTATACAAAGTAATCAACAGGCTCGTACATACATACATACATACATATGGGCGAGTATGATACCATGGTGTATAGTTGGTAGGCTCTTTACGATTTTGGCCCCCTATTCTGCCTGCCCTCCTCCATTCAACTGAAATCATCTTCAGCATGCCCTCTACAGCAATGTCTATTTGTATGTATTGTTGTTCTTGCATTTATGTTTACTTGTGTGGCTTTTAGTTGCGGATTTTCCACACTCCCCCACTCATGCACACACATACACCCCGACTCACGCACATACGCATACGCCTACTTTACAAACATAAAAGAGGGAATAAAATTTTGTAATTTTTTTTCTTTTGCTTTTGCTTTTGCTGCACAAGTACTTAGACTAGTGTGCGGGTACTATTGTAAAACTTTATGCGTTGGCTTGTCTGCATCCGAAATGTAGTTGTGTGTAGGCGTTGTATTTAGCTGTAAGTAGCTCTTAGGTGAATGCTTTAATGAAGCGCTAAAGTACATGTTTGGCTTCTTTTAATTTCTTGTCGCAAAAGTTCATTCGTAAATTACACTCGGTGACCTTGCGCTTTGTATTATGCTTTTCACAGAACATTATATCTACTATGTACAAAGACGTTGGAGGGGGAGTGTTTTTTCTCTTCATTTTCATTTTGATGCAAAGAAAAACTACCGTAGTAGGCTGATTAAAATAAATAGCTTTTTTATTTGCCTACCTCGACAGTTTCCATTAGGGGAGCGCTTATGGTCAAGCGTAGGAGTAAATTATTTTGATTATGTTTGTCAAAAGGGGGTAAACAGATTTTTTATGTAGATATGATAAAGCCTTAATTTCCAAGGATTAAAGGTTTATTTTCCAAACCATTTCTGTAATTACATTCCTTTCCCTATGTACGAGTACATTTGATGATTTTATAAAATGTTGGAGTTCATCGTTGCGGAAATACATACATATTGCCCGTATGTTTTCCGCTTTTGAAGTTTTTCTTCTTCAACCTGCCAGCAGGTGCAACATCGAATACTTTCAGTGCTGTGAGCATTTGCGTTCATTCGTACGGAATAACCCAGCCCCAGCCAAAAGAGTTTGAGAAGTTTTTTTTTTTAGTTTTTCTATGCTTACTCAGTGTAAATGTCTGTCAATTTATAATTTTTTTTACAACATTTCTTTTGAAAACTAATGGTGTTTTCGTTTCTTCCGAAACAGGTTACCTTCTCTTTGCCCTCTACGCACAAATTCAAAGAAAAGGGTAATCTGCAATGGCAATATTTTTTGTAGAACCGAAAACGCCATAAAGAAATGGAAAATGCTTCTAAAGCAGGGATCACACGAGTTGTACATTTGTGCAAAATTTGTACATTTTGGCAGTGGCAGAGTGGTGTTCTTTAGAAATTTGAGTTCAGCTCAAAAAAGAATTTCCAAACAACACTACTCAGTAACTGCCCAAATGTACAATTCTGTACAAATGTACCAGTCGTGTGACACTGCCTTAACACTTTTTGGAACAAAATTTTATTTTATTTTTTTTTTTTTCAAATAGAAGAACAAATTTATTTTTCTTAAACTCTTAGCTAAATTTTTCAAATAAATAAATAAAAAGATTAGATTTATAATTAGAATTAAAGCAGGGAGCAAGTTTTTTTTTAACTTTTCGTTAAATTTCTTCAAATAAAATATTCAACAATTTTATTAAGCTTGAGGCCGTTTCTAATGAAAAATTATGTGGGAAAACAACAAATAATTTACACATGATAGAAGTTATAGCTGCTATTTCGTGGATCACCTCATCAGACTTCACCGGGACTTTAACTCGCAATTAATGCTTTTAGCTTTTTATGTTAATCAGCACTGTTTTAAATACATAATTAAGAGTTTTTCAAATATGTTATGCTAAACTTTTTTGCATCAAAATATTTTATATGTAAAAAAACGTAGTCGACATTTTTTTAATTGCTCCAAAACTTTCAGATACTTAAGATTTTTTAGAAGTAAAAAAATATTTACAGAAAACGTGGTAAAAATTGGTAAAAAATTATATTATCTTTTTTTTAATTGTTGTTTTACATATATGTTTTATAAATTTAATCATAAGTTCCAAAAGTTTGTAAGACTAGTTTTCTTTATCTTTAGTTTAAAATCTTCAATATATTTTGACACAAATTTATCTCCTTTTCCCATACCTTTACCGATTATTTTATGGGCCGAAAACCAACAGATAGCCAACTTACCAGCACATGTACAAGACTGAAGATATAAAATAATTAACTTTAATTTTAAACAAAATTTTTACGCCGAAACAAATATTTGCGGAAAACTGTTAAGAATTGATAAACAAATAAAAAGAACTCGTAAAATATTTTTTCCATAAAACTAGTCAAAAGCTGAAAAAAATAAAGCTACTATTTTATTCTTTGGTTAACGTTGAACTTTTTTAATATACATCGCCCCTAACTTATTTTTTTTAGGTTTTTTGGCATGATGACAAATTTGTTGCATAAAATTATGTTTATTATATTATAAGATTTTCCATAAAAAAACGAATAACTAAAAAATTTTTTTACTTTGTTTTGAAACCAAATTCTGACAACAAAAACAATATTTGTTGAATAAAAATTAAAAATAATGTAAAAAATTTAATTTTTAATTTTATAGACTTTTACGTTGGTGGCATGAAGTTTTTGCCTGAGAAGAGCCCTAGTAAAATTTTCCGAAGAATAATTTTCTATAATATACCAATCCTCTAACAGCCGTCCAAATTTGCCTTTTGCGGGTTTCTTGAAGAATCAAAATGGGCCCAAATGGGCTAAAATGTTCTACGAAAATATTTCCCATGAAATTTTACATGTATATATGTTTAAACCATTAATTTCGCTCAGACATTTATTTTAACCATGTTTTAGTAGGTCATAAACTAAAAATACAAGCTAACTTTTGCAAATCCATCGAACTTTCAGAAAATGTTAACAAAGTTTGGGCTGGTTTTGGCTGTCGCTCAGTGTTATCGATATTCTTTTTTCGTTATATTTGAAGAAGGGCCTCTATAAAGCTTTCGAATATAATTTTAAATATGTAAATTAAAAACTAGACCACATCACTTCGCCCCATATACCTTGGAAAATCATGCACAGCTATTGGTAACACTGGCCGCCGCTCACCGGACACCACACCGTAAAAGGCCTCACGCCTGTATGGCACATAAATCGTATGCCGCCTGCGACGCGGTATACGCGATCTTTGCTTAAAGTCACGATAATTATTGGCGATTTCATGTTGATATGTTTCGTTGAAAAAAAACGCTGGATTGTAGATTTTACGTGTGGGCAATTGCGGTAGTGGGCGCGATAACTGCAATTGCAATGCTTTACCGGTGACCGAGAATGACGGCGACGACGATGATGGCGATAACGGTGTTGCAGGAAGTGACATTTTATGCGAGCACTTCACTTTCCGGCCGTTTAAAATTTAAAAGAAAGCAAAACGTTTAAGAGACAGCCATATTATTTCGTATACCGTTAAGCGACACTGACTTCGAGGAACTGAAACCGCAAACCGCAAATTTCCACAAATGCGAGTAAATAATTTGCATACTCGTCAGAGTTAGATTGATGGCAAAATGAATGCGAAACGATTATTCTATATGGTTGGAAAAATAGGGAAATTAGTTACTTGAGTGGAGTTGGGTGATTTGATCATTGAGCGGCATGTATGTACTTGGTAAATGTTTATTTGGAATATTGGACTATTATTTTATCTATATTGCATTAGATTAGAATAGTCAATGCGGAAAACATTGTCGATAGCAACAATTTGTGGTTGTTAACACGTCAATGGGCAATTTATTATGAAAATTGACAAACAATTGAAAACATGAAAATGCAATTTGGTAATAATATGCCTTAGGTTTTTTTATGCTTATGTACTTGCATGTATATGTACGAGTCAAGTTCGGCATGAATATTTCAGATAGACGAACTATTCATAAACACAGTAGGGAAAAATAGTGGGTCAGTATGACGGTAATTTTTTTCATAGAATCAGAAAAGAGCATGGAGTTTTTATAAGAAAAGTTAAAAAAAAAAGTCTGAAACATTTTATCTAACCGAACTCGGTCTGTCGAGAGCCGACGGATTTTATGCATAGAAAAAATTTTTAGAACAGGTATCAAAACTTGGCGCCTCTAAGTGGTAACCTCACTCGGCTATGTCCGCCGCCCTGAATACTCTTTGCCAAAACTAGGGAGGACAAGTTAGAAACTCGCTTAACGTAAACACCAAGCTGAGTTGAGGGAAAACCCTGAAGGTTAGATTGACGAAAACAGCCTTCTGAAACGCCCAAAACTCCTTTAACGCAATAGAATGGAAGGGTATTAATGCAGAAGCAATTTCGAGGAAAGAAAATAAGTAATTCTGGGCAACTAGCAACTAGTTTCAAATTTGAAGATGTTTCGATAATGAGTTTACAGAGAAAGTGAACAAGAGTTGCTTCCACGTTGAAAAAACGGTTCCTTGCTGCGAGTTAGACAGTGTATTGCTCTTGTAAAGATAGTAAAATCAGGTTACAAGCTAAATTCCAAATATGTTTTTATTTTCAAAGAACCAATGGCAAAGATATTGAGATTTTTTATTTATAATATATATTATATTCATGCAGAAACCATACCTTACTTTCTACTGGGTAGTTGTTGATAAGCACGCAAATAAAAAATAACTTGCAAATACATTGAGGAGCTGCACAAACAATGTACAATTGAAATCGACATACAAATCCTTGATTGTTTTTATTATTTTTCTGCGGCATAACTTGTGTACCTACTCTTATATACACTTAAATATGGGAATATTCGTAAGCATTCCATCGAAATTACCGAATTAAACTACCACGAAAAAGTTTAGGGAATCTCAAAAGGTTTAGGCCAAGTTTTTCAATTATTCAATGGCATGCTTTTAGTATTGCAATACTTTTGAAAGACCCTCGCACAGCAAAAGGGTTTTATAAGCAGCTTATTTGTGGCAGAAATGCACTCGAAGGGGCTGCTGTGGGAAAAACCTTCTTATAACTTAATGTTTAACATACGCGGTATGTTCGGAAAGCAGGACATTTGGGCGCTTTGCCACGCACAAGCACACTTGAGAATGATTGCCATTTCATATACTCGTAGATATTGATTAAGACAAATAAGAATTCGAATACTTAATTCCAATATTTATTATCGGGTTGAATGCGAATGTTGTATGTAAATACCTTTACATATACATATGTATGTATACATGTAGATATATGCATTTACGGAAGGGTTATTCGATACATGCTGCCAGCCGTATAAAATTAAATGTATACATATGTATGTACATACACTGACGAACAAAAGTGTTGGCACAGTGAATTTTTCGCAATATATACAAACTTTTTTATTACAATTTATTATCGATAATTTTTTTATAAAAATGTAGTTCATACTACATCAAAAAAACTAAAAATAAAATCTCTAAGCTTTTTGCAAAACTCAGGAATATTCAATAGATAAAAGTCCATGCTAATTTACAACCTTTTTATCATATTTGTTTAAGAATTTATTTTATTTTTTTTTGAGTACGTAGTTTTGAAGCCAACGCAATTTTAGTATAAAAAAGTTATAGTTTGAAGTAGCTAGGGCTGACCGTTGCTTTTTGGCATTTTTTCATGCATGTTTTTCATAACAAAAAACTTTCAAAAATACTCGGTGTGGAAAAAATGCGAAATAACTTCACAAAAAAAAAACTCAACAAGTAATTTGTAAGCAAAAACAAAACCTACTTCAATACTCGAATAAAAATAAAGAGTACCGATAATTTCCTTATGATCCAATGATCGGATTTAAACCAAATTAGTGTGGGACTATTCCTTAAAGAATTAAAGAAATCGTTTAACGTGGTTTAAAGTTAAGAAAAAATTCCCACGAATTGATAACCTTCTCCTTTGTTTGAAGTCTGTTAGAAATCATTGTGATTTTTTTGCGATTTCAAACTTGCACTTTATTATTCTAAAGTTAAAAATTTGCATGAAAAATTATTGAATTTTACACAAGGTTTAGACATTATATTTTTATGATTTTTGTTGTAGTATGAAACATATTTTTATAAAAATTAGAGGAAAAAAAATTAATAAAAATTGTTTCATACATTGTGAACCGTTTCGGAAAAAGTACGTGATACACCCCTTGGTCTGAATTATTACCGCAAGGCAATTAAAAAAAATATAGTTTTTTGGATCTTAAAGTAAGATTGTCTCGAGGGGGCAATGTTCCAAAATTCACTGACCTCAAGTAACCTATAGTGATACTTTGCAACAGATCTCAGTTTTAACCACCCTAATGTTGGTAAATTAAGGCTCTCCAAAAATTATTAAACTCTTTCTGAGGAAGTATTTCGGTTCGAAGGCAATTTGGTTTTTGTTTTGCCGACCCCTACGCCGTTTTACATTTTTCGTCATATCTTCGGCAATTGGATCTCAAAGTATGATTTATCTATTATTTTCTCTAGAGGAGAAACTTTTTTACTTCCAAAGTTCATTGATCTCAAGTAACCCGTTCTAGTACTTACGCACTAGATCTCAGTTCCTGTCACCTTAACGGACCACCCTAACGTCCGTAACTATTTAATAAAAAAATCTTATTGTCGAAATTGCCTTACAAGAATTTGACTCAGGGGCGTACAGTGAAATTTGTTTTGCTTGCTTACAATGTGACACGGTCTAATGTACATAACTTTGTAGGTTCAGGTAAGCATATGTCAACGTAAGTTTTCCTGGTGAGGTCATCACAGCTTAAACTTTGTTTTTAATAATTTACGTGTTTCGAGTTTGAATTAAGTCAAAGAGTTCTCATATCTATGGCATACGAAGGAGATTTCTGTATGAAGTTAAGTTTTTCGTGCTTGCGCCTCGGCAAAGTAAATTTTGTTAATGAAATTCGTTGAAAAGAAATGCGAATTGAAGCGGGCGGGGCACAAACTTTCATACAGGTATATGTACATATGTACTTATTATGTATACCTTTCGTTGTGGCATGTCACAGCAGCGAAAGCTTAACGAAGCTATAGCAAAGTTATTAATTATGCCAGTAATTATTTCTTAGAAAAAAGAGAACTCTAGGGAAATTATTAACAAATTAAAAGAAATATACGAATGTACATACATATGTACACTTAGGTCTCTTTTTATGCGGATTTGAATTAATGCGGGTTTTCAAACCGCTGTAGGGATTTGCTTTTTGAGAGCTTTTATTACTTTTTTCACTGTGTAAGAGACAATGCTGCTCACGAATAATTTACAGAGGCAGCGCCCCTTGTGATCAGCGTTGCCGTTTTGCTTAAATTTAAGCAATATTGATTAAGTTTTTCCTGAATGTTAAAATATTAATCTATTCTTCGTTTTGCTAAATTTGTTTATTAAAATAGTCAATAAGGATAATTTTCCTCAAAAATTCATAGCCAGAAGAGTTACTATTTCAATAAATTTTTCAAGTTTAAGCCCTGTATGCAGCTCTCAAGAAAACGGTCAAGAAAAAATTGCCATTATTTCGTGTGTGTGTCCAAGGAATTTTGACATTTTTGATACCTCACAGCCTGTTGCCTCACTCTTTCCTCAAGAAATAATGGAACGGGCATATATTTCTGTTGCAAACCTGGGTTGCCTTGTGCTCTTTTTTCACACAAAACTTTAGAAAACCGTAGTAGAAAGCGTAGTAAATTTCTTAAGAACTGCGTACTGCCGTAAGGAAATTTGACTCAAGAAAATTTCTTAGCCATTTCTTGTACGTCATTTTATATGGAGTTTTTGCTTTTCTTGAGAGCTGCATACAGGCCTTTACTTTAGGAAGACTGTCATCCAGATCCCTCTACGCAATTCCCGATCTGCGGTCGAGTGTACTTCTGCCATGAAATCGCTTCTCATAAAAACCATTTGCCGTCCGGAGGCGACCTAGAATTTTAGGTTTTAAATTTAGCAACTGTTAGGCCCAATTTCAGATGGCCTACTTAAGTAGAGATTGTTGATTAACTTCCACTATTCATTTTCAGATCATACATTTAAGCTGCACTTAAATGGCCAATATTGGCTATTTGAATATGAGATATGCAAACTTGTTTTTATACCAGCCAACCAAGTTTGATTGATAAATAGGTTGTTTAATCAATCCCACCAAATCCCACCAAAAAACAATCAGCTGTTCAGCAGAATATGCAAACAAACAAGCAAATGCAACAACAATTTCAAGGAACAAGCAGCAGTACTGCCAATTGGTTGGCATATTTTTTAACAAAGTTGATCTGAAACTCAACGAAAGCTAAATGACATTTAAACAACAATCCACAATTAAATTTAAGTGCCGTTTAAATATTCATTTAAAATTGGCCCTTAGACTATAAAATCCTTACTTTTGACGACAGAAC